CCAGGAAAAGTTCAGCAGAGGATGCTCTGCTCCGGGGACTCATACTGGTTTCACAGCTGCAGCCAAGGGCTGGGCAGCAGACACCTGGGTGGGTGACCTTGTCCTTCTTGTCCCTCTTGTGCCATGCTGGCACAATTTAGCACACAGGTCCATGAAAGTAAGGAGCAGCAGCGATAATAGGAAGGGAACAATGCCCTTTGGGCAGAATGCAAAAAGTGCGCTAGGGTGGGCACCAATGAGAGAGGGGAAGCACCGGACCGGGTGCTACATGCTCCTAGCAAGGTCCCAACCCACCACGTTATGGGGACTAGTAGCCCACGGGCTGTGCAAAGATGGGGTGGGGGGATCCTGAAGTCTTTTTGAAGAAGGGGCAGTGGCAATGGGGGTCTGCAGAAAGTCTCTCCCTTTTGGGGGCTGCTGCGGCCACTTGGAGGGTTCATGGATGGCCACCCAGGAGGACTAAAAAAAAGCATTGCAGCAGTTTATGGTTTGCTTGTGCTCATGTTGAACGTGCACAGGCTCTGAGATTGCACAGCTGGTTTTGCCTGCACCTGAGATGTTTAGCCCCAAACTTCAGATATTCCTCAACGGCTCTTTGTGGACATGGGAACCCCACTGTGCAAAACACAGGGGAGCATCCTCCGGCATGGGTCTCACCATGGTGGGAAGAAGAGGCACCCTGGAGGAGACCTGGTCTGATGCTCCCCTTGTGTCTCGTGCCACGAGCAGGCACAGCCACCAACACGCCAGCTCACCTACGCCTGGAGAACGGCCCTGGCCGCTGCGCGGGACGCGTGGAGGTGCTCCGCCACCATCAGTGGGGGACGGTGTGTGACAGCAGCTGGGGCCTGGCCGAGGCGGCAGTGGTCTGCCGGCAGCTGGGCTGCGGGACGGCTCTCTCAGCCCTGGGTTCAGCTCACTTCGGGCAAGGGTCCGGCCGCATCTGGCTGGATAATGTGAACTGCACGGGGACAGAAGCCACCCTCTCTGAATGCCAGGCCACGCCATGGGAATCCAACAGCTGTGACCACCGGGAAGATGCTGGTGTGGTGTGCTCCGGTGATCCATGTTAGTCAGGATAAGTACCGTGCGGGATGGGGTGCAGGATCAGCTCAATCTTGTCCCAGATAGCCAGGGATGAGTGCCTTTACCCCACCCTGGTTTAAAAAAATAAAATTAAATCAAGAGAAGGGTATGAATGCCACAGTGGCTGATGCTCTTCCTTGTGTCGGCACAGG